GGGGGGGGTGGGGGGGGGGCCCCGGCGGGGCGGGGGGGGGCCCATTCCCAGCAGCGGGGGTGCCAGGCGGGGGGAGCAGCAGGGGGCCTGGCTCCGAGCCCCACGTCTCACGGGCCGCACTGCGGGTGCAGGAGAAGCTGACCAAGAGCCTGGCCTACATCCTGAGCCGGCAGGACACGGTGCAGACGCACATCGCGGAGCTGGAGGAGACGGTGAAGCACACCGAGGTGAGGGGCGAGGGGCAGGAGGTGCCGGGGTGCGGCGCTGCCCCCCTGGCTGGGCTCCAGGCCCCCCCAGGCCAGTGGCCGCAGGGGAGGGGCTCTGGCCGGGCCCGTGTGACCCCGCTCTGCTTGGCAGGTGCACGGGAGCCAGGCCAAGGAGGAGGTTTCGCAGCTGCTGCGGGGCCTGGGCGCCCTGCTGGAGGAGAAGCAGGCGGCCCTGCTGCAGGCCATCCAGGAGTCCCAGCCGGAGAGCGGGCCGGTCCAGCCTGCAGCGCCAGATCCAGGAGCACCGGGCCATGCTGGAGAACTCGGGCCTGGTGGGCTACGCCCAGGAGGTGCTCAAGGAGACCGACCAGCCCTGCTCCTTCCAGGCTGCCAAGCAGCTGCCCAGCCGGTACCGTCCCCTGGGCCGCATGGGGAGCGGATCCGCTTTGCCCGGGTGCCGGTCCGGCAGTGACCCCGGCCGCGTGCCTCAGTTTCCCTCCACGCGGCGGGGAGAGCCGGGTGTGACCCGCCGAGGGAGGCTGCCTGGCCCAGCATGTTCACAACGGCCCAGGAGGGGGGTGACCAGGTGACACCTTTTGCCCGGGAAGCTGGACGAAGGCCGGAGTGGGGGGGGTGTGAGGGAGTCTGGCTGGCCTGGGGGCAGAGATGGGGGCAGGGCCCTGGCTCCGAGCGCCCCCCATGGCCTGACCTGGAGGCTCCTCGTGCCTGTGCTGACCAGTCTGCGTCCCCATTGCCTTGGCCCCCCTGTTCGCCCTGTGGCCGAGAGTCCCCTCTAGCTGTGGGTGGGGGGCAGGGCCCGGGGACTCCCCACCCCTCGGTGACAGGGGCCCCTCGCTGATGCGCCCCCCGCAGTGCAGGGACACTGGCAGGGGGTGCTTGGCCCAGCTCCCAGAGCACAGCAGGCTGCAGGGCCTGTGCCGCCAACGCCCCCTCCCCTGTCGCCGCAGGATCCTCCGGGCCACAGACGCGCTGCAGAGCTTCCGGCCCGCTTCCAGCTGGACCTCAGCAGGGAGATGAAGCTGCTCACGGACCTGAGCTTCATCAAAGGTAAACGTGAGGACCGGAGCCCAGCTCCGGAACCGCCAGCTGGGCCGAGGGGAGGGGCTTCCTGGACAGGGAGGAGCTCTGTGCAGAGTGGGAGGAGCTCTGCGGAGTGGGAGGAGCTCTGTGGAGTGGGAGGGGCTCCCTTGCCTGGCCGGCTCGCCTCCCTTCTGCATGGGCCTGGGCCTGGCAGCTGTTGGAGAGAGGCTGCTCTACATCCATGTGCCACCCCATCCACCCCTCTGTGCCCGTCCCTCCATGTGCCACCCCATCCACCCCTCTGTGCCCGTCCCTCCATGTGCCACCCCATCCACCCCTCTGTGCCCGTCCCTCCATGTGCCACCCCATCCACCCCTCTGTGCCCGTCCCTCCATGTGCCACCCCATCCACCCCTCTGTGCCCGTCCCTCCATGTGCCACCCCATCCACCCCTCTGTGCCCGTCCCTCCATGTGCCACCCCATCCACCCCTCTGTGCCCGTCCCTCCATGTGCCACCCCATCCACCCCTCTGTGCCCGTCCCTCCATGTGCCACCCCATCCACCCCTCTGTGCCCGTCCCTCCATGTGCCACCCCATCCACCCCTCTGTGCCCGTCCCTCCATGTGCCACCCCATCCACCCCTCTGTGCCCGTCCCTCCATGTGCCACCCCATCCACCCCTCTGTGCCCGTCCCTCCATGTGCCACCCCATCCACCCCTCTGTGCCCGTCCCTCCATGTGCCACCCCATCCACCCCTCTGTGCCCGTCCCTCCATGTGCCACCCCATCCACCCCTCTGTGCCCGTCCCTCCATGTGCCACCCCATCCACCCCTCTGTGCCCGTCCCTCCATGTGCCACCCCATCCACCCCTCTGTGCCCGTCCCTCCATGTGCCACCCCATCCACCCCTCTGTGCCCGTCCCTCCATGTGCCACCCCATCCACCCCTCTGTGCCCGTCCCTCCATGTGCCACCCCATCCACCCCTCTGTGCCCGTCCCTCCATGTGCCACCCCATCCACCCCTCTGTGCCCGTCCCTCCATGTGCCACCCCATCCACCCCTCTGTGCCCGTCCCTCCATGTGCCACCCCATCCACCCCTCTGTGCCCGTCCCTCCATGTGCCACCCCATCCACCCCTCTGTGCCCGTCCCTCCATGTGCCACCCCATCCACCCCTCTGTGCCCGTCCCTCCATGTGCCACCCCATCCACCCCTCTGTGCCCGTCCCTCCATGTGCCACCCCATCCACCCCTCTGTGCCCGTCCCTCCATGTGCCACCCCATCCACCCCTCTGTGCCCGTCCCTCCATGTGCCACCCCATCCACCCCTCTGTGCCCGTCCCTCCATGTGCCACCCCATCCACCCCTCTGTGCCCGTCCCTCCATGTGCCACCCCATCCACCCCTCTGTGCCCGTCCCTCCATGTGCCACCCCATCCACCCCTCTGTGCCCGTCCCTCCATGTGCCACCCCATCCACCCCTCTGTGCCCGTCCCTCCATGTGCCACCCCATCCACCCCTCTGTGCCCGTCCCTCCATGTGCCACCCCATCCACCCCTCTGTGCCCGTCCCTCCATGTGCCACCCCATCCACCCCTCTGTGCCCGTCCCTCCATGTGCCACCCCATCCACCCCTCTGTGCCCGTCCCTCCATGTGCCACCCCATCCACCCCTCTGTGCCTGTCCCTCCCTGTGCCACCCCATCCACCCGTCTGTGCCCGTCCCTCCATGTGCCACCCCATCCCACCCCTCTGTGCCCTTCCCTCGGTGCCAACATTTTTATCCCTTTTTCCGGCTGGTCTTCTTCTCGGACCCCAGATTATATCATGTAACTAGAGTCCTGCTTATTTTACTATAATGTGACTAACCAATCCTGGAATCCTAGAACTGGAAGGGACCTCTGGAATCCATCCAGTCCAGTCCCCTGCCCTCCCGGCAGGACCAAGCACCGTCTAGATCATTCCTGACATGTGTGTCCAACCTGCTCTTCAATATCTCCAGGGATGGGGATTCCACAACCTCCCTAGGCAACTTATCCCAGTGTTTCACCCCCTGACAGACAGAACATTTTTCCTAATGTCCAACCTAAACCTCCCCTGCTGCAATTTAAGCCCCTTGCTCCTTGTCCCGTCCTCAGAGGCCAAGGAGAACAATTTTTCTCTCTCCTATTTGGGACACCCTTTTAGATACTTGAAAACCGCTGTCACGTCCCCTCTCAGCCTTCTCCTTTCCAAACTCAACAAGCCCCGTCCTTCAGCCTCCCTCCTGAGTCGTGTTCTCTCGACCTTTCATCGTTCTTGTTGCTCTTCTCTGGACCTTCTCCAGTTTCTCCACATCTTCCTTGAAACGCGGTGCCCAGAACTGGACCCACTCCTCCAATTGAGGCCTAATCAGCGCAGAACGGAGCGGGAGAACGACTCCTCGTGTCTCGCTAAAGACGCTCCCGTTCGTGTCGCTCTCCACATCTTTCCTGAAATGTGGTGCCCAGAACTGGACACAATCCTCTAACTGAGGCCTAATCAGCGCAGAGCCGAGCGGAAGGATGACTCCTCGTGTCTGGCTCACAACACTCCTGTCAATGCCTCCCAGAATCAGGTTGGCTTTTTTTGCAACAGTGTCGCACTGTTGGCTCGTATTTTGCTTGTGGTCCACTGCGACCCCTAGATCCCTTCTGCAGGACTCCTCCCTAGACAGGCGCTCCCCATTCTCTGGGGTCTGTCTACCCGGCCACCCTAGTTCAAACTAGGGAGGCTAATGTCGGCATTCGAAGTTGCAAATGAAGCCTGGGATTTAAATATCCCGGGCTTCATTTGCATCTTGCCGGGCGCCGCCATTTTTAAATCCCCGTTAGTGTGGATTCCGTGCCCGCGGCTACATGCGGCATGGAGTAGGTAGTTCGGATTGGGCCCTCTATCTCCCGTTACTCCTCCTGCTGATCTCAGACCATTTCTCCAGCTTGTCCAGATCATTTTGAATTATGCCCATACCTTCTTGTGCCACCCACCCTCTCCCAGCCCTTGGTGCCCGTCCCTCCCTGTGCCACCCCATCCCACCCCTCTGTGCCCATCCCTCCCTCTGCCATCCCACCCCTCTGTGCCTGTCCCTCCATGTGCCACCCCATCCCACCCCTCTGTGCCTGTCCCTCCATGTGCCACCCCATCCCACCCCTCTGTGCCTGTCCCTCCATGTGCCACCCCATCCCACCCCTCTGTGCCTGTCCCTCCATGTGCCACCCCATCCCACCCCTCTGTGCCTGTCCCTCCATGTGCCACCCCATCCCACCCCTCTGTGCCTGTCCCTCCATGTGCCACCCCATCCCACCCCTCTGTGCCTGTCCCTCCATGTGCCACCCCATCCCACCCCTCTGTGCCTGTCCCTCCATGTGCCACCCCATCCCACCCCTCTGTGCCTGTCCCTCCATGTGCCACCCCATCCCACCCCTCTGTGCCTGTCCCTCCATGTGCCACCCCATCCCACCCCTCTGTGCCTGTCCCTCCATGTGCCACCCCATCCCACCCCTCTGTGCCTGTCCCTCCATGTGCCACCCCATCCCACCCCTCTGTGCCTGTCCCTCCATGTGCCACCCCATCCCACCCCTCTGTGCCTGTCCCTCCATGTGCCACCCCATCCCACCCCTCTGTGCCTGTCCCTCCATGTGCCACCCCATCCCACCCCTCTGTGCCTGTCCCTCCATGTGCCACCCCATCCCACCCCTCTGTGCCTGTCCCTCCATGTGCCACCCCATCCCACCCCTCTGTGCCTGTCCCTCCATGTGCCACCCCATCCCACCCCTCTGTGCCTGTCCCTCCATGTGCCACCCCATCCCACCCCTCTGTGCCTGTCCCTCCATGTGCCACCCCATCCCACCCCTCTGTGCCTGTCCCTCCATGTGCCACCCCATCCCACCCCTCTGTGCCTGTCCCTCCATGTGCCACCCCATCCCACCCCTCTGTGCCTGTCCCTCCATGTGCCACCCCATCCCACCCCTCTGTGCCTGTCCCTCCATGTGCCACCCCATCCCACCCCTCTGTGCCTGTCCCTCCATGTGCCACCCCATCCCACCCCTCTGTGCCTGTCCCTCCATGTGCCACCCCATCCCACCCCTCTGTGCCTGTCCCTCCATGTGCCACCCCATCCCACCCCTCTGTGCCTGTCCCTCCATGTGCCACCCCATCCCACCCCTCTGTGCCTGTCCCTCCATGTGCCACCCCATCCCACCCCTCTGTGCCTGTCCCTCCATGTGCCACCCCATCCCACCCCTCTGTGCCTGTCCCTCCATGTGCCACCCCATCCCACCCCAGCCCTGGGTCTGAGCCCTGTACAAAAGCAAGGCAAGTACATAAATATTAGACCCACTCAGCTCTAATGTTACGATTCCGACTTCTTGTGGCAAGTCGCTTACGGGATCCTGGTTCTTCTTACAATGTTAATACCTGTTCTTACTGCCTTACTCACTGCAGCAAGGCAGACTCCGTCGGGACTCCGGGGCTCGCTCTCGGCTCTGGAAGGGCAGCGGGGGCTAGTGGGTAACAGCAGGGTTTCAGCCCTAGATAAGAACATCAGAACGGCCAGACTGGGACAGACCAATAGTCCTTCTAGCCCAGTGGCCTGTCTGCCGGCAGTGGCCAATGCCAGGTGCTCAGAAGGCATGAAGAGAAGAGGCAATTATCATGGTCCATCCCGTCGCCCATTCCCATCTTCCAGCAAACAGAAGCCAGGACACTGCCCCTGCCCATCCTGGCTGGCAGCCGTTGGCGGATCGAGCCTCCTTGAACTTATTTTGTTCTTATTGGAAACTTGTTACAGTTTGGACCTTTCGACCATCCCCTGGCAAGGAGTTCCGCAAGTTGTTTGCGAAGAAATAATTTGTTTTGTTTTAAATCTGCTGCCTGTACATTTGATTGGTTCAGCTTCTCGTGTTATGTTAGTGAAGGAACGAATAACATTCCTGTATGATATTGTGCCAAGGCTTCTAATATCTCCCCCCACCCTTTGGTCATTTCTTTTCCAAGCTGAAAAGTCCCGGTCTTGTTAATCTCTCCTGATACAGAAGCTGTTCCTTACCCCTAATCATTTCTGTTGCCCTTCTCTGTACTTTTTCCAAATCCAATAGATCTTTTTTTTAGGTGGGGTGACCACATCTGCATGCAGCAGTCAAGCTGGGAGCATCCCACGACTTTGTATAGAGGCAACGTGATATTTTCTGTCTTATTAGCGATTCCTTTCCTAACGATTCTCAATATTATGTTTTCAGACAGCCACTGCACATAGCGCAGATGTTTTCTGGGCACTACCCACAATGATTCCAAGATCTCTTTCTTGAGTGGGATCAGCTAATTTAGACCCATGATTTTGTATCTATAGTCAGGACTATGTTTGCCCGTGTGCATCACTTTGTACCTCTCGACACCGAATTCCGTCTGCCCGTGTGCTGCCCAGTCCCCCAGTTTTGTGAGATCCCTTTGTGACTCTTTGCAGTCAGCTTCGGACTTAACTATTGGGAGTAATTTTGCAGAATCTGCGACTTTTGCCGCCTCGCTGTTCACCCCTTTTCCAAGAACCTTGGTACGTTTAACAGCACTGGTCCAAATGCAGAGCCTAGCAGCGTTCCTGCCTCCCCCCTCTCTTGTAAGTGGCGGGCCCGGCAATGTTTTCTTGATGATCTAACGACCCTTCAGTGCCTGGAATGCCCGGCCCTTTGTTCTTCTTAATCCCCTGCCTCCCTCTGATTAGAACACATTCCCTGCCCCAAAGGCAAAGCTGCAGGCAGCTCAAACTCTGTTGCATTGAAGAGCTGCCTCTGGAGCCAGGACAGGCAGTGTTAAGCGGGCCTCAAGCATGAAATCCAGTGGCACCCTTGTCTCCGTCCCCCATGCTGTGATCATCCGTCCGTGCTCAGCGCCATCCTTCCCTCCCCCCCACCCTCTCCCCCCTCTCTGCCTCCCCCCACTTGCACACAGCCCGTCTGGTCCCTGGAACTCTCAGCAGCTCGCCTCCCTCTCCCTGCCTCTCTCCCTGGTGCCCACAGACTCTCGGCAGGCCGGTTCCCCCAGGCCCCTGCTGGCTCCTGCTGGTTGTGCGTCCGTCCGTCCGGAATGCCCCTCCCTGCGTCTGGCCGCTCACCTGCCCCGGCCGTGCGCGCCCGCTGCTCACGCCTGTCTCTCCCCGCAGCCCCCGAGGCGCCGGTCATCGACACGCAGCGCACCTACGCCTACGACCAGATCTTCCTGTGCTGGCGCCTGCCCCAGTCCTCCCCGCCCGCCTGGCACTTCACCGTGGAGTACCGCAAGAGCGACGCCAAGGCCAAGGCGCTCCGGTTGTGGCAGGAGTACCTGGACACGGACAGCGTCTACGTGCTGAGGGTGAAGGGCTACAACAAGGCTGGCTTCGGGGAGTACAGCGAAGAGATCTACCTGCACACGCCGCCCGCACCAGGTGAGGGGGAGCTACCTGCACCAGGTGAGGGGGAGCTACCTGCACACGCTGCCTGCACCAGATAAGGGCACATCCTCTCCTTCACCGCCTGCCCCAGGCGGAAGGATCTGCCCTCCCACTCCTCGCACTGCACACGTCTGTGACCCGCTCAGCCACAGGCCCTTCTGAAATCAAACGGGGGCCGTCGTCCCGCCTGGGCTTGTCCGTGAGGGTGCCCCCGAGAGTCACCCCAGCCCCACGGGGCCGTTTGGGGGCATGCGGTGAGCGCCCAGGGTCTGCGACTCGCTGCACGCGACCCAGGGTGGGGAGACTCCCAGCGAGGGGGAAGCCCAGGCCGCTGTGTCCCCAGGGAGTCCCCCCGGCACCCCTGTTACCTTGATCTCTTCCTCACTTTAGGGACGCGCACCGCTCCCCAGTTCCTAGGGCTCGAGGTGCAACCTGCGCATGTGCAGGGTCTTTTGCCACTGAAAGAGCCGTACACGCTGATACCCTCCCGCCCTGGTGGGTAGCAGAACACACGCGCCAAGCACGTAGGGCCCCGCTCCTGATCCAGGCAGACTTGCCCCCGTGGCCAGGCCAGGGCAGTCCTCTGGATCCTGGCGGCTGCACGTCACGGCCGCGAGAGGAGTCCTGCCAGCTCTCAGCTTAGGCTGGCTCTTGGAGGTGAGTTCTGCTTCCAGGTCGTCCCTCCTCCTTTCTGTTTCTTCCTTCCTTTTCCCTTTCCTCCCTTTTTCCGGCTGGTCGTCTTCTCGGGCCCCAGATTGTATCATGTACCTTGAGTCCTGCGCGGCTATTCCGGAACCAGTCCCTGTACTGTCGTTCCACTGACCAGCCCTAGAATCCTAGAACCAGAAGGGATCTTGAGAGATCCCCAAGTCCAGCCCCTTGCCCTCACCGCAGGACCAAGCCCTGTCTAGCCCATCCCTGGCAGGCGTCTGTCCAAACTGCTCCTCAATATCTCCAGGGATAGAATCATAGAATCATAGGACTGGAAGGGACCTCGAGAGGTCATCGAGTCCAGCCCCCCGCCCTCAAGGCAGGACCAAGCTCCATCTACACCATCCCTGACAGATGTCTATCTAACCTGTTCTTAAATATCTCAGGAGAGGGAGATTCCACCACCTCCCGTGGCAATTTATTCCAATATTTGACCACCCTGACAGTTAGGAATTTTTTCCTAATGTCCAATCTAAACCTCCCCTGCTGCACTTTAAGCCCATTACTCCTTGTCCTGTCCTCAGAAACCAAGAGGAACAAAATTTCTCCTTCCTCCTTGTGACACCCTTTTAGATATTTGAAAACCGCTCTCATGTCCCCCCTTAATCTTCTTTTTTCCAAACTAAACAAGCCCAGTTCTTTCCATCTTCCATCATAGGCCCTGTGTGCCGGCGCGTCGGGGTCCCCCGATCCTGCAGCCCCGTAGCAGCAAGAACAGACTCCCCCAGCCAGTAGAACGGGGGGGTTATTGCTTCTCCAGGATACAGCCCAGCACAGACGTGATGCGGTTACAGGAGTCAGGGCCAGGCAGCCTGAGACCCCTTGGGTTAGGGGATCCATCGCCCCCCCTAGACCCTCAGCCCTCAGTTTAAGCTGTTTCCTTCATGTTTCCCAGCCAGCAACTGCCCCATCCCCCGAAACCTCCCTTCCTTTGTTCCGTCCCTGCCCTCAACTATCATAGGCCCTGTGTGCCGGCGCGTCGGGGTCCCCCGATCCTGCAGCCCCGTAGCAGCAAGAACAGACTCCCCCAGCCAGTAGAACGGGGGGGTTATTGCTTCTCCAGAATACAGCCCAGCACAGACGTGATGCGGTTACAGGAGTCAGGGCCAGGCAGCCTGAGACCCCTTGGGTTAGGGGATCCATCGCCCCCCCTAGACCCTCAGCCCTCAGTTTAAGCTGTTTCCTTCATGTTTCCCAGCCAGCAACTGCCCCATCCCCCGAAACCTCCCTTCCTTTGTTCCGTCCCTGCCCTCAACTGGTCGGACAGGTTCCTACGGGACCTTAGGCAGCCATCCTGCTGGGCAGTGCTACAGGTACCGGCCAGTAGGGGTCACCCCCAGCCCAAACAGCCACCAGTGGATACGCAGAGGGTATGGCCTGCCCATTACATCACACCGTGTTTTCTAGAACGTTCATCGTTCTTGTTGCTCGTCTCTGGACCTTCTTCAATTTCTCCACATCTTCCTTGACACGCGGCGCCCAGAACTGGACACACTCCTCCAGCGGAGGCCTCACCAGCGCAGAGCGGAAGAACGACTCCTCGTGTCTGGCTCCCCACCCTCCTGTTAGGATGTTTTTCCTAATGTCCAACCTGCGAAAAAACGGCGGTGGAGGAGAAGAGGGGCTCGCTGGGAGGGTCGGAGGAGGCGGCGGCGCCCTTAGGGCCGGGTTTCCCAAACATGGCCTGCGCGTGTGAAACTGACTGTTCCTTCCTACTTTGCACTTAGTACACTTCATCCGCTTGCCCTCAGACCATTTCTCCAGTTTGTCCAGAGCGTTGTGCATCATGGACCTCTCCTCCAAACACTCGCCGCCTCCCAGCTTGCAACAGGCTGTAACAGAATTATCTGACCAATCAGACCTGCCACCTTAGTAGATTTACACCTAGCAAAGGTAATTACACCGCGGACAGAGGCAATGACAAACCCGAGGAGCTCAGGCAGGCAGGCAATAGCAAAGCGGGAACATAATCACAGACATAACCTCAACTATTGAGAAACAGTTTCTTGCTGGACGAAATGCTGTTAAACTTTACCCATCTTGCGCTCTGTGTCTGGATCTGGTGATGGGGGTGGGGAGAGCTTAGAACAGGGGGGCTCCTTCTTTCTAGCCTGGTGTGACACTCTTGTACTGCACTGGAGTGTGAGGCCGTGACTCCAAGCGGGACGGCTCACGGCCGCTGCTCTTCAGTCTGGCTGCGGAGGAAGGCTTTAGGCCTTCCATTATGGCTACAGGCCTTGCGATATGGCTGCCAGCCTTCCATTATGGCTACAGGCCTTGCGATATGGCTGCCAGCCTTCCATTATGGCTACAGGCCTTGCGATATGGCTGCCAGCCTTCCATTATGGCTACAGGCCTTGCGATATGGCTGCCAGCCTTCCATTATGGCTACAGGCCTTGCGATATGGCTGCCAGCCTTCCATTATGGCTACAGGCCTTGCGATATGGCTGCCAGCCTTCCATTATGGCTACAGGCCTTGCGATATGGCTGCCAGCCTTCCATTATGGCTACAGGCCTTGCGATATGGCTGCCAGCCTTCCATTATGGCTACAGGCCTTGCGATATGGCTGCCAGCCTCCCTTGTGTCTCGGCCCTTCCTCACTCCCTCTTCTCTCCCTCTCCTCAGTCCTCAACTTCTTCCTCGACAACCGCTGGGGCTTCAACCGGGAGCGGCTGATCCTCAGCAAGGACCAGCGGGCCGTGCGCTGCGTGCCTGGCCTGCCCATGCTCTTCGCCGCCGAGCGCCTCATGACCAGCTGCCACCTCTCCGTGGACCTGCTCATCGGCGACGTGGCTGTCACGCAGGGCAGGAGCTACTGGGCCTGCTGCGTGGACCCCAGCTCCTACCTGGTCAAGGTGGGCGTGGGGCTGGAGAGCAAGCTGCAGGAGTGGTTCCAAGTGCCACAGGACGTGGTGAGCCCCAGGTGAGGGGGGCAGGGCTTGGGCTGGGGCTCTCACCACACGGCCTTGGGGTCCCCTTCCCACCCCTCACATAGCTAAGCTCTGGGCCTGCCGGGCATGTGCTTCTTGAATAACTGAGCACAGGAGAGGGGGTATGATTCTTTTAGCTGCCTGTTATTCTAACAAGCTCACATTGGCTGGTTTCTGCCAGAAACCGGCCAATGGGAATGTGCCGGGGGCGTCGTAGCTCTTAAAACTTTCCCCCTCCCCTCCAGTTTGAAAGCAGAAATGGAGCCCTACAGCTGATTTTCTGCCCAGCGTGTGGGGCTGCAGGGCAAGCAGGTGAGCCTGTCTCCACGCTGGATCTGGGGGCTTGATGGGCCAGACCCGGCCCACGGGCAGTAGTTTGCCCAGGCCTGATCTAGGTGGTGCTTGGTCCTGCTGTGAGGGCAGGGGACTGGACTTAATGACCTCTCGAGATCCCTTCTAGGTCTATGAGTCTGACATCTGCCATCATTTCCAAAGTCTACTCCATAAAGGAAAAAAATCAAGTTTTCAGGTATTACTATAGCAATATTTCTCTCTTGAGAATCAAAAAACCTAGAAACTGGAAGTCCTACCCAATCTCTATACTGGACAAGCTGCCAGTTCTTTCAGACGTGTCTCCTCCAACATGGCGATGACGGCATTGTCTTTTAAGCATTGGGTATATTTTGTGATCACTTCAATAAAACCCTTTACCTTCCAGGAAACACGCTGAATTATCTAAGCCGTCGTTAGAAAAGTAATAGGCTAAAATATAAAGTTGCCGAGTCAATCAATGAGAAATGGAAAATTTTCCTGAGCAGTGTACAGTCCTTGCATAGTTAAGCAGCACAAATTGTACAATACAGAGGTTGGGTGTTGGTTGTTGGTAGATATTCTACCCAGTGGGAAGGAAATTCCCAGCATAAGTGGAATGGGAGGAGGGCAGAAAGTGGAGAAAAAAACCCAAGATAATGAAGAGAGCAACACCTATTATGGGTTGAACCTCTCTCATCCGGAACCCTTGGGACCTGACTGGTTCTGAACAAGAGAATTTTCCGGACCATGGGAGGTCAATGTTGTGTAGCAGCATTGCTGACCCTTCCACTACTTACTATGCTGTAGGAAGACAGTAAGGGGTACATTAGAGCTAAAGAACAGCACAGAACCCTGAGAGCCAGGACTGAAAGCTGTAAACAAACTTAATGGGACCGTGGGAAACTTGGCCGTACGCATGCTAAGCGGACATCCGGCTAACTACAATCATGCTGGACCCTGGATGTTGCCGGTCCAGAGAGTGCCGGACTAGAGAGGCTGAACTTACAGTACCATACAGTCAGAAAGAAAAATCTATTTAAAGAGTCCGTCCCCATCCCATTTGACATGCGGGGGTGGAGGGAGGGGGGCAGGCTGCAGCGAGGGCAGAAGGGCGGCGTGGGGCCGACCTTGCCGGCACGGGATCCCTCCCGGAACTGAGGCCTCGGGGCCGGGAGAGCCTGGCTCTGCTCCCACCTGTCCCCATGCCCAGAGCCCGGCCTGCTGTCCAGTGCGGCAGTCAGGCCCTGGGGAGCGTGAGCTCCAGCTGGGGGCTAAAGGGGGAGCGACGGGAGAGCGAGGCTCTGACGTGGGGCACCCGACCCACAGCGCAGGCTGCAGCGAGGGCAGAAGGGCGGCGTGGGGCCGACCTTGCCGGCACGGGATCCCTCCCGGAACTGAGGCCTCGGGGCCGGGAGAGCCTGGCTCTGCTCCCACGCGTCTCCATGCCGGGCTTGTGCCACCTTTCGGTTGGGCTGGATTGTGGGGGGAGGGTTTGGGCCCTGCTGCTCCCCTCCCCCAGCTCCTCCCCACACCTGCCCCACAGGCTGCCCTCCTCTCCTGCACGTTTAACCCGGGACTCAGAGCGGTGGGTGCGTAGGGCACTGGGCGCAGCCTGGCAGTGCCAGACTCAGCCCTGCGTGAGGATGGGCGGGGCCTGGCCGGCTGGCACGTCCCTGAGATGCTGCATCTGCCAGGCCCAAGAGCCACCCGCTGGCCTTGCCTGCTCTCTAGCCCTGGGATAGCGACTGGCCTGAGTCGTGCATGGGACGGGGGAGCGGGGCAGAGCCCCGGGGGGAGGGGCTGGGGCCAAAG